CCCTTGGGAGCAGAGCCCGACCCCCCCCTGGCTCCAGGCTCCTGTCAGGAGCTGTGCAGAGCCAGAAGGTCTCCCCTGAGCCTCCTTTGCTCCAGGCTCAGCACCCCCAGCTCCCTCAGCTGCTCCTCCCCACACTTGGGCTCCAGACCCTTCCCCAGCTCTGTTGCCCTTCTCTGGCCACGCTCCAGCCCCTCAGTGTCTTTCCTGTATTGAGATGCCCAAAACTGATCCCAGTACTCAAGGTGTGGCCTCAGCAGTGCCCAGCCCAGGGGGATGATCCCTGCCCTGGCCCTGCTGGCCCAGGATGCCAGAGCTCGGGTAAGAGCCGGGTGGGCACACTGCCTGCTCACGCAGTGCTGTGACCTGCCCTGTCCTGCAGCCTCAGAGCAGACCTGTCCCCCGGAGCCCTGTGCTCCTCAGAGGAGCTTCCCCCTTAGCTCCATGCCAGGCCGCCTGGAGCTGCTGCAGTGCTGAGGATTCGCCCTCAGGGGCTGTTCTGCCTTCCCAAGTGCTGTGTGCTGGAGCTGCAGCGCCGGTTTTCACATCACCCCCTGCACCTGCCTCTTCTGCTTTTTCTTTCCGTGTTGGTTTTTAATTTTTTTTTTAATTAGGAGTTTTTTAATTCGTTGTGATCCTGCAGTAGGGGAGAGCTCCTGCCATTGTCCCTGCATGAGCCGGGTGGCCTTAAGCCTGGGGGCACTGGGCTGTGTAACCAGCTCCTGAGAGGGCAGTGGAGAGAGGGCAGCTGGGGCCGAGCACACCAGGGCCGGGGGTGGGGGAAAGCCCTGCACGGATATTGCCCCTCATGGCTTCTGGGGATCCCCCAAGCACCCAGAGCCCTCCCTCCCCCCCCCATGCAGCTCCTGGAGTCCCGAGGAGGAGCGTGTTGATGCAGAGCTGGTGCTGGAGGTCTCGCTGGAGGTGGAGGTGGGCAGCTGGTTCTCCTCCGTTGCTGTCTGAGCCAAGGGCTGTGAGCCCAGCAGAGTTCTTCCCCCAAAAAGCATTAAAATCCAGGCTCTGGCAGCGTTTGCCTCCCGAGAGCCAGAGCAGGCAGGAGCCCAGCCCTGCGTGTGGCCGAGGTGTGCCAGGGCTCTGGGGCCCGGCTGAGTGCTGTGCCCAGCACGCTCACTGCTGCCCAGGGAGGCTTCCCAGATGTTGGGGTCCTCCAGATGTTCAGGAGTGTTTCCTGCAGATGGGGGTGTGAGCTCGGGGCTCGTTTCCTGCTCTGGCTCCCAGCTGGTGGGGTGGGCTCAGCAGGTGCTGCTGCCAGGAGCCAGGTCCCGGGCACAGCCCCGTGGCCAGGAGCAGCACGGGGGTGCCTTCAAAGAGAGGGGCAAGGAGGGGTGGGAAGGAGTCTCCTGGGAACACTCCCCTTTGCTGAGAGCGTGTGCCCTGTGCATTGCCCACTTCTCCTGCTCAGGCAGAAACTGGAAATGAGACATCCCAGCTTGTTCTAGCTGGCCAAGAGCAGGGAGGGAGGAACACCAGGGCACAAAGGGGGAAGCAGGGCAAGGACACGCTGGGTTTTGGGGAGGAGAAGCGTGGGCCTGTCACCAGGGAGACCTGGCTGCGTTTGTCCTGGGCTCACGCTGTGGATCTCACCATCCCTGGAGGAGGGAGCAGGGTCCCTCCGGGCAGTGCCCCTGCCAGGACGAGGGCTGGGCAGAGGCAGGTCTGGCGATGCCCGAGGCTCACCCGTCACCCCACGGCCCCTGGGCTGGTTCCCTGCAGGGGACACGTGCAGGGGGTTTGCTGTGCCAGGCCCGGACCCCCAGGACCCGTGCAGCCCTTTGCTTCCCCTCTGTGGGCACCAGCAGGGCCATCCCAAAATGTGAGGGGTGGGTAGTGGAGAGAGCCCCCCGGCTCTGGTGCAGGCGGGTGCTAACGTCTCCTTGTCTGTCTGCTTGCAGCTGACTGGAGTGTCTGGGGAGGTTCCCACTGTGCAGAGCCCACGGAAAGAGGTGAAGCGAAGGAAGAAGCAAACGGATTCCAGGGGAGGCGTGTAGGGGGAGGGGAGAGGAAGAGGAGGAGGAAGAGGACGGGGGAGCACGAGCCCCTCCAAGGACTATCTCGCACTTCACCCAAGCCTGCGGCAAACGACTTTTTTGGTTTTTTTTTCTTCCCCCACCCCCTCCTCCTTTGGTCTCCTCCCACCCCGGCAACTGTACAAAGCCACAGATCGAATCACAGTAAATTATTATTTGATGGTCTCAACAAACCCCTTGGTGGCCGTGTCCTCCTTGCCAGGGGCTGCTGCGGGTGCCCCGGGAGGATCGCCGCTGGGGCGGCGGGGAGGGAAGGGTGCTGAGAGCTGCTCTGAGGCCAGGCTGCAGACCCTGCAGGGGTCAGGGTGGGGTGTCCTTCAGGGTCAGAGCTGCCTTCATCTCCAGTGAGTCCTCCTCGTGTCCCTGTCCTCCCCCAGCCCACCTGAAACTCTTTGCTGGCCCCACGCTGTGGTGGGGTAGAAGAGCACAAGCAGTCCAGACCAGTCCTGGGCTCTCCCTTGGGTACTTTGCCCTCAACGTAGTGCTTTGGGGCTGCTCCGTGCCCTCAGATGCAGAGCATGGGAGGGAAGAAGCATCAGGGGGAGAGTCAGGCAGAACTGGGGCTCTCTGCTCCCCTCCAGCACCGCTCCCAGCAGTGCCTGCACAGCACACCCCTCTGGGTGTGGAACCCACCCACCCTGGGCTCAGCCTCCTTCGAGGGGAGCAGGCAGCAGGAGGGGTCCCTGCACCCAGACAGAGGCACAAGGACTCGGGTTCAGAGTGGGTAAGAGTGTTTTGGATGAGGACCAATCCATTGGGAAGCCCATCTTCATAGAATTATTAAGGCTGGAAAAGACCTCTAAGGTCATCAAGTCCAACCATCAAACCAGCACTGCCATGGCCACTAAACCATGTGCCCAAGTGCCCCAGCCA